TGGTGAAGAAGATCTTGGAGGCCTGGTACAGACCTTGCTCATACGCCTTGTCTCCAGACTCCTCGATGTTGGCAACGTTGGTACCGCGAAGGAAGTCCTCGAGCTCACCGAGCTCATCCAGACGAGCGTAGCAGAAGGCGAGGGCAGTGTCGATGGCAGGCTCGCGCAGCGTCTTTCTGGCCATGCGAAGGTACTTGATAAGATCCTGGTCCTTGCCGGCGCGGGCAGCGGTCTCGATAACCTCCTCGTAGTTCTTGGGGTCATCGGCCTTGATGTAGGACTCGATAGAGTCAGTGACGCGCAGGCCATCAAGCTGAGCCTTGGCGACCTTGCTCCAAACCTCGGGCAAATCGACCTCCTCGGCGTAAGCTTGGGCGCGGTCGATGCTAACGACGTTCTCTACCAAGACATCAACAGCGGAAGTCTTGTCACCAGTCTTCTTAAAGATCTCGAAGGCCTCCTCATGGAGACCGACGTCGATACAGGCTGATGCAATGTCCGGCGCGCTGAAGTTGTCCATACGGTGGATGTAGTCCATAACTTTACCCTTGTCGGCCTTGGCAGCGGTGAACAGAAGCAAGTTCTGAAGGTTGGTGTTGTCACTGAAAGGTGACGGCTCGAGAACAATCTTCTCAAGCAGCTCAATGAGCTCAAGAGGAAGATCGCAGGCAAGGAAGGCAGCCACAGCCTCGGAGACCTTGGAGGGATCGGTGGACTCGGGAACCGCGGTGGCGGTCACTTGGTCAATCACGGAACGGCGATGAATGTTATTCTCGCTGAGGACAAAGGTCCACAGCTCGCGGTCAGCCCGCTCGAGCAGGTATCGAGCTTGGTTGCGGTACATGCCGTTCTCGTTGGTAATGTTGACGAGCTCAAGGTCGTTCTGACCCTTAGAGTAGGCGATGAAGGCAAGGTTGGGGTCACGCTTCTCACAGTATTTACCGACGCTGAGAGTGTCATACTGGTCGTTCTCCTTGAGGAACTTCTCGGGGTTGTTGTTCGAGTCAATGTAGATCTTGGCAAGAGCATTGAAGACGGCCTGCTGCTGGTTGCCGGCAGCAAGAGTAGCCTCGAGGAAGGGAAGGAGAAGCTTGAGACGGTTGCGAGACTCAACCTCAGACACGAGCTCATCGATTGGGATAGAGGCGGGGTTGACGGTCGACAGCAAGTTCTTGATGATGCTCTCATCGCAGTCGACATCCAACAGACCACCGATGACGGCGGGAGTCCGGCTGGGGTTGACACGCTGGACGTAAGTCTCGATGGACTGGAACTGCTGCTGCTGGTACAGGTAGAGAACCAAGTCGTGGACGAAGTTGAATCTGTCGCAGACGATGATGAGAGGCAGCTGCTCCTGAAGTCTGGCCTCCTTGAGGAAATTCTTGACCTTCTCGGCGTTGTAGTAGTTGCTGTCTCTGCAAATACGCTCAACCTCGTTGAACTGGCCCATCTTGGTAGCAGACTCGATGTACTTGAAGTGAACATCGGGGTCCTCTGAAAGGTTGACAATGCTGCCAAGGTAGTAGAAGAGACCCTCAGCAGTCTTGTACTTCTCGAAAAGATCAATCAGGCGCACGGGACCCAGCAAGTCGGAGTACTTAGTGGCGATCTGGACCACCGCTTGCAGGTTCTGGCGGATGTTGTGCTTGATCATGGCATCCAAGCAGTCCAGAGATTGCTCAACGGACAGCTTGCCAAAGAAGCCGGTCAACCAGTCGATGTTGAAGTTGGGGGTGGCCGCAATGTTGATAACGACACGCTTGACGGCAGCGGGGTCCTCGTAGAGCTCCAATGCCTTTTGGGCCAAACCGGCCTGTTCGCAAAGTGTCGCGATGCGAGTCTTGTCAAAGTGAGAGAACATGTCATTTCCAAGGATAGCATCGGCAACCTGGGGAGCATTCATCAAGTTCATCTCCAAGAGACGAGTCTGAAGGTGACCCTGGTCAGGTCTGTTATCCTTGAGCGCATCCAGCAAGAAAGCCGTAGCTTGCTGGATCATGCCCTGAGACTGGAAGATGTCGACCACTCTCTCGATATCGACTAGGGAGCCGCCCTCATTGTTAGCCAAGGCTGTGGCGAACTCTGCACCCTTCTCCGGGTTGACACGAACGATATGCTGGAGCAGCTGGACGTAGTCGGGTTGGTAGTTGGCCTGGGTAGCGTAGGGCAAAATCTTCTCGAATTGACCCGTCTCGGCAAAGCCAGCAACAACCTTGTGAGGGATGTTGGCCTTGAGGTAAAGAGTGAGAGCCATGTTCAGGTCGTGAGGGCGGACAAGGTCACCGAGTCTCTCAGACGCAGTCAACTTGCCCTCCTTTTGCCATTTCTCCAACAGGTTGAGACGGTTTTGAGCGAGAACAGGCTGTGCAAGCTCAATAGACTCGTGCTCGTTCAGGGCTCCCTTGTCGAGCAAGAGGCCAAAGTATTGCAGAACAAAGGACATTTGACCAGGTTGCTGGGGAAGCGACTTGAATCTCTCGATCGTCTCGGCGGTTCGAAGGAATTGTCGGGGAGAGTTGGCCGCGATCTTGGCAGCATCCATGAACTGACCGCTGTTGAAGAGCTGCTCGAATTGACGAGCATACAGATTATCAGCACCGGGGAGGCCAGCTCGTGATGCCATCTTGATAGCCATATCGGTGTTGGCCGGGTTCTGAAGGAGGTAGGGGATAACGTTGGCGTCGTCGATCGAAACGAAGAGCACTTGACCCTTGCGGTTGATGCCCACAATACCGCGAGACTCGTTGTCGGGGCAGGTGGTGAAAATGGTATCGCTGGAAATTCGGTTCATGAAGATGCAGGCGGCGGTCTCGAGGTCATAGACGTGGATGAATCCGTACTTGGTGACCATGAAAATGACACCGTACTTCTGCGACACCTGCATAGCCACGGGGAAATCGCTGACGGCTTCGGGAGGGAAGAAGATGTCGACGGCCTTCTTCTGGAAAACAGGGTTTGACTCGGCGTGATCGACCTCGACGATGTGAAGCTTCGCGCCAGTAGCGGTTCTCACAGCAAAGGTGAAGAGCTTGGTGTCAGCAGGAGCACCCTCCAAGCGCAGCGAGCCGAAGGCCGCAGCGTGACCCTCAATGGCCTGGCTGATGCCACGGTCCTTGGAGTATAGCTGCATGGCGCCAACGACGCGGCCCTGCTGTTGCGAGATACCAACAACCACCATCCACTTGCCCTCGGCGTTGGTTCGGTAGTTGATGATTTGGCAACCCTGGTCAATAGTATTTAGTAGACAATTCGGCGACATGCGGAGGATGGAGGGAGCATTGCACTCACGTTGAGGTTAGCATTGCGCTTGAAGACCTCGACGGGCTGGGCCTGACTGGGGTCGTAGACGTCCCAGTGGTAGACTGCTGAATCTGTAACCAGGCCCAGAGTGGTCTCGCTGATCCACTTCCAGTACTGGACGTCCTCGTTCATTGTGGTAGACTTGAGTTTCGCCTTCTTCTCGAGGTCGAAGATCTGCAGTGTTCTCGATTGCGCCTTGAGAGCGATGACTTGACGAGTCCAGTGCATGATGGCACTGTCGGCCTTGATGGGGCGCCGTGTGACATTGTTGCCGTTCTTGAGGTCGACGATGACAACTTCGGGTTGGGCAGCTTCGTTTTTCTTTTCCCGAATACACACATAAGAGTCTGACTCGAGTGTCTGGAGGAGAACAAGTCAGTCATGATGATGCCATTGAGTAGGGAGATGGTCGGGCGGTGATGGCTCACGCAGGAGTTGAAGCCGATGGAAGCGTCCTCGACACCGGCAGTCTGAAGCTGGATCAGCTCCTGGAACTTGATCGGTAGTGGCGCCATGACTGGCGTTATGTGTGACAAGTAGCTTCCAGAGACCAAGTTGCACTCCTTAACTGGGTGGTGTCAGTTCGCGGATTCGAATCGGGCAGCTGATCGGGTGTCGCGGGATTTCGTGGATACGGCGACGTGGATGTCGTGTATTTGGGAGAGAAAGGAGTAGGAGCTGGGGATAGCTTCCTTGCGACCCGACTGAATGCGCACAAGGCAATTAATACAGGGAAACAGAGAGCGGTAAAGAGGAGGCGTAAATACGGGGTAACTATGCACCTCGCAGTGATGACAATCTGGAGGGCAAACGGTGATGATGGTGTTTTGTTTGGGGCGGCGGTGGTGGTGGTGGTGGTGGGAGGAATGGGAATGGGAAAGATGGGTACGGGATACGTAGTTCGCTTGTGGTGAGGTGGAAGGTTGGAGATTATTTTAGGTGCAGTACCTTACGTTGCCTGTTCGGTTCGTTCCTGCCAGTCCAGTGCCAGGTTGTTAGGTGCGCACTGAACCAGGTGCGCGACGCCTAAGGTCTGTGGTTTGCTGCCAGCTTTCCACCCTCACTGCTTGCCTTGCTGGCCAGGTGTGCCAGGCTTGCTTGCTCCTGCCGGTCCTTGCTGTCTTCAGCCAAGTACCCACCCATATGGACCGTGCACTTGGCTCTTCAACCTTCACTGGCTGGATGGCCATGGCCTATCACGTGGCTATCTTGCTAAGGTGTCCGTTTCCAGGTTCCTGACCGGAGGCATGTTCGACCGGATGCGGGATGACATAAGCGACTAAACACCTCCCATGTCCGGCGACCCGACCAGCCTACCTCAGCCCGGAGGCCTTTTTTTAGGTCCCGGATCATGAATACATATTATGGCATGGTAATGAGTACTAATGTACCAGGCACACAAGGCAAGGGAGTGCGAGAAATCTGTAGATTTGTTATTCAGAGTCATGTCACCTACCTCATTGAAAACTACTTGCACAGATTCAGCCATCTTGCAATAATTCTGTCGTACTCGTAAACTCAACGGGCTCCTCTTTCCGCCCTTCCTTCGCGGAACATTTCGGCTCCGAGCTCAATGAACAACTCGCATCTCACAAATTGCCATGCCGACCACAAGATTGTCAACATCTTTATGAATAAAAGGTACTTTCACAGCAAAATCCTGTGCCCGAACCATAGAGCAAACTGAGGTCGGCCAGGGGTCAGCCACTTTGGGAAAGCTGCGTCGTAGTAAAGCGTTGAGCCTTCACTTTGCCTCCAGCAGGTACGAGGGGATCGCTGTAGTGGTAGGTGACAAAGCTCCAACTGACAGGTGGGAGTGGGCTGCCCGGGATTATCGAAGTGACAGGGTGGCGGGAAGCATCTAGTCGATGGTGCTATTAGTGCCTAGTAGATCTTTGAGGATCACAGACTCAACTCACCTGCGATAACCGAGCTGAACTTTGTTCTGTTCTCAAGTGTCTGGATCATGTACCACCTAACATCGGCTTTGAAACGTTCACTCTTGCCTATAAGATCAAGGCAATGTTTGATGATAATCGACCACTCTTCCGGGTCATCATCGTCCCATTCCTTGTCAATGTTGGCGGAGCCTGGGCAAAGGTCCACGGGCTCGATTGGGCTGATGTCCAGGTGACGCAACCAGGGTTTAACCATTGCCTGCGCAATTACCTGCCTGAGCCCTCAAGGGTCGTATAATTTATGCCGGGCAAGGAGTTTGTATAGCCTAGCAATGTGACTTTCGCGCAGCGCCGTTCGGTCCTCTAGCAGCAACTGTCGCAATTGCAGAGATACTGCGCGGTTGAAGCGCACGATACAGCGAAGACCGAGCTTAAATGATAGTTCACCGGCGTGGATGAGTTCGGTAATCGTGTCGGACGCCGATCGAACACGGGCATGCGGATGTTGAGGGACGTTTCCCGTCATGAGGAAGCTCATGATGAAACCAAAGGCATCGGCATCTTCATATAGAAACTCGTACTCACGAGGCAACGGCTGTCTCTCCTTCCAAGGGTCTCGTCCTAGGCCAAAATCGGGAAACCTTTCAAAATTCCGAGCAATGATGGGTTCCGGAATAGAAAAGCGAGTCCGCTCCGTAGCTGAGGTGAAGTGGATCGTGAGGTGCTCGGCATTGTGCGGAAACCAAGATCTTGAGAAACATTAATTTAACACGCGACTAAGGAAGATACTACGCAGGTATGTTCGACCTACATTAGCCATGAGAGGTGACCAACGTATGTGTTCTCCATGTGGCCGGGAGATATCTACGAAGCGATTTAGACGCAATTCCAATGTATAGACCACCGAGAACCTTACTTTGACGTCAAAAGAAGCTCCGCCGAGCTTCAAAGCCCCTGTATCGGGGCCAACTCTCTCATGCGCGCCGAGGGCCTAGTCGTAGTCATTTTTCGTCGGATCATCAGGATCTATATCCATATCGTTGGTGCTGTTCTTCGATTCTCTAGTGGATTGAGGCATGGCTGATATGATGTCTACAAAATCATCGAAAGGCATAAGAGAAGGAGGAGGCAATCAGAGTGAGATTCATCTTGACAACTTGGCGATTATGAGGTATTTTAATGCTCGAGAAATGTCCATCGGTAGAAGGAACAGAGCAAACATGGGGCTGAAAGAAGCCAGAATAGAGCTTTCGGCGAAATCCAAGGGCATTAAGGAAATGGCTTATCTAAAGGCGGTTTCCTTTCATTGAGGTGGAGGGTTTCGTACCTAGTTCTCTACCTCACAAGTAGATCTAAGGACTTTCTTACAATATTGGAGACAAATCGCCTGGTCCTGAGACCTAGTATCTGCGTCCCACAAGGCGAAAGCCGCGCGTCAGGATAAACGCCGTGCCTACTCCACATAGGGCAACTATGAACAAAGGTAAGACGGGATGGACGCCGTCTTACGTTGATGCAGCATGTTGCGTTTTCAAAGCGCATTGGCAGGTTCCAATTCACTCTGGAACCGCTGCCAGCGATGCACAACAACGCGCCAAGGCCATGGGCTGGGTTCGATTACATGAGCAACCTCCAGGCACCAAGAAGCAGAGCGGCGAAACCGGTACACACTCCCATCAGCCACTGCAGCGTCTGGAACTTGACCTGCTCAAGCTTCTCGCGCAGCGCCGCCACCTCCTGCTCGATCTTTGTCTCCGTCTCCTTGATCTTGAGCTCCTGGCCGACGGCCTCCTCGCGGATGCGACCCTTCTCCAGGTTCAGGTCCAGGCGAACGCTGGCCTGGGTCCGGCCGATCTCGTCGCGCAGCCGGGAGCTCAGCTTCGCAATGTCGTTGCCGAGCTTCTCGTGGGACGCGCGCGTCGTGCTCGACTCGGTGCTATCGGCGGACAGGAGTTCCGAGCGCAGCTTGGCGAAGTCGACCTTTTGCGTGTAGGTTGCCTTGGCGGCATCTTCGCGGAGGACCATGGTTCGGGTGAGGTTCTGTATGCTGCTCTGCTGTTAGAAGGGATGGATATGCTGTTCGAGGGCGCCGTTGCATACCTTTCTTGTATTACATCGTTTAGGACCTTCATCGTAGCCTCGGCCTGCACCTCCGTGAAGCCCTCGCTCTTCATCCGCTGGACGAACTTCAAGGTATCAAAGTGGTGGTCTCTTGGCCTTGAAGGAGTCGCATGAAAGGACCGCGTGAGGCCCGGGCTCGCCAGTATCGAGGCGCGCTCGGTCTTGAAGCCATTGCTGCGGCATCTAGTTGGTATACTCGACTCGTTGAAAGCACTCGTTCGGGTGTGCATCCGACGGCGCGAGCTCGGAGGGAGTGCCGAAACAGGCCGTAGGGCTTGGGATGATGTCGCAGGACCAGTCCAGCTGAGTCTAGGAAGCAGGAACCTCGGAAGGGCGTCTACGGCCATTGCCGTTGGTTTGGCCATCTTGTGTGTATTTGTGGTTTCGTTGAGTTGGTGTTTGGAGAAGCAATCTCTAATCCCCAATCCCAGGGGAGATTATCTTGGTGCTAGCAGCACGGGCGGGAGATTGGGAATGACTAGCACCCAGTGACGGCATGTCGTTGCAGCTGACCCACTGGGGAGCGCAGCTTGCCGAAGACCGGCCGCGGGTGTCAAACACTTGGAAGGCAGGAAGGCAGGGGGGCACGCCGCAAAGGAAGGACCCTTCTTTCCTTCCACTCCCAGTCTTCCTCGTGCCCGCCCATTTGGGTCGTCCAGTCGGGCTGAGTTGATTGGCTGCCTGAGGCACGGACCCTGCCAAAAAATTCTCGCGGCGCACTACAAAACGCGGCCTGCGCAGCGCATCTTTGCTCTGTTTTCCTCCTTTCTTCTTCATTATTGAACAACGCAAAATAAAACATTCATGTTCTCGTGAAAACAAATGTCTGTTGAGAGGTTCGCTCTTTTGCTGGACCCAGGACCATCGGACGTGGAGATCGAAATGGAGAAGGAAGCGAACAATCTTGGGTGCGGTGCCCCTCGGCCTACGGGCACGTGAGGGGGACCGCAATGATTGAGCGTACATACATTCGCCCATCGTAAATACTTGATGGTCACTCTTGATGAGTAGAATTGCCTGCCTTAGTATGGCCCATGTGAAATGCACCGGCTTATTAAGGTGTTCAGATCTTGGGATTTTGTCACGTTAAGTGCCGTGACAGCTCAAGCTCTGGCTCTGCTGTCGTCCACGCCTGCTCAGCGCAAGATATAGCATCCATTCTTGCCTGACCCGAGTGTTGATCTTGTCGGAGAGGCTGCTCGAACCCATCTCTATGACACTTGCTATGGGCTCGCAATCCGTTATGGAGATGCTGGACAAGCCGTACTAGCCATCCGGCACTTTACGTTGCTAGCAGACAAGATATGATGCCCATTCTCAAGATTCCATTGCTCCTTCACCGAGACGAGCGTCTCAATCAGATCCCGACTGTCTACGCCTCGTCATCTCGCGGGGACGGGGAGTCTCCCTCTTGCGGGCTGGTCACCATCACATACATGAAAATGGCGTCGGGAGGTTCCTTCCCCGCATCGCCCTAACGCTCACAAAATCAAAGACGATATCGTGCGCCTCATCGGCGGCAACTAGCCTACTATGTGTAGAGAAAACAACCGGAGTGTCTGTTTGTGTTCGATTCTGGTCATTTATCATTATTGTCTACCCTTTTTCTTTGTCGACAATTTCTGTCAAACCCTGACTTCATGGCCAGAATCTCGAAAATATCCCACATAAGAGAAGAAGAGAAGCTCCATCGAAGTTGATCACAGATTCGGCAGCAGCTGCTGTGGAAGTCTCAACAGTCAAACAACTTCCAAAAGATGTTAATGGAATAGAGGATTCCAACATACATCTAGACAACGGCCTCTGATCGTGGCCGGTGCAAAAGGCTTCGTTCTCGTCGAATTGAGCATCGTCTCCCCTCCTCTCTAACGACGACGTCGCTTCTCGCCCGGGGGAGGGACGCCATCACCACGCCCTGTCTCGACATCGGGCTTCCAGCACGGCTGCACGATGATATTCCTATCGCACCGGACACCCTCAGCCTCCAGGGCATGACGTGAAACGGTGTCGGTTCCTGGCGTGTCGTCCGCAATCGTGGTTCCCAAGATCCAGCCCGCCATAGTAGAACAACTCATCGTCCTGCGAGGAGGCAACGACGTCAGCGAGCTCGTTGCGCGCGTGCTTGGCTAGAAAGGTGGCGCCGCCTCGAGCGTGAGAGGAGAGAGTCTGCGGGGAGTCGTGGTCGACGACGAGGGCCGAAGTGGCGGCTGCGCCTTTCAATCTCCAGCGGCCTTGGCCTACGACCTGGAACCAGCGCGTCTTTTTGCTCGGCTGGGTGAATATGTGTCTGTAGGCGTTTGCTTTCGGTAGGGCGAGGGCGTTTTGGCGGTGATGGCCATGATGGCGAAGAGTGAGAGGTCCTCCATGAGGGACAGCGCGAGGACCTCGTGGAGAGCTCATCGGCAAATATTTGAAAGAGATGGTTCGGTTGAGAGGTCGTTGGACTCTAATCGGTTGAGTTTCAGACTCGTTGCGATTCCCGGGCTTTTGATTGTGTGCTCGTTTGGACGTGAGTTGCAATGAGTGGGAGGAAAGCAATAGAGCTAGATCTAATGTTATGCTTTTAGATGAGCATTCACAACTTGGCTCCATAGCCAGAGCCTTTGGAGCCCGGTTTCGTCATGATTAACCGTATTCGTCGGCATAGACTTTCGTGGGTCCTCAGTCTTTGGTGTTGAGGAGTTCTGTTCTAGACTTTGGCAGCAAGTTAAGCTTGGCAGACGCCTTTACAAACACCAGTGAGGTTTCTTGGTTCTTTGGCCACAGACATTGGGGAATTCCTGCATAACGCTGGACTGGTCACGATATAGTTTGGACTCCAAGATGCTGGAGAGCCGAGTGAGTCAAATCCCAACCATGCAGCAAAACCTCAAGTCTTTCTTCGGCGAGAGTAAAAGGCTCTGGTCACAGGTCGTAGACAATGGCGGATATCAGGTCGTGGTTTGGAAGCGGCATGGTTGGTGCTGGGTCGGCGACTGCTATTCCGGCTGTTGTGCTCATGACATTCCTCAAGAAGGGCGCAGTGGGGAGCAAGGTTTGGGTTAGACATGTGCATCTAGACACTCCCTCGATACGATAAGTGCGTCTTGATTACTTCGGCCAGTAAATGCTTTGCAAAAGACGGCGTAATAACGTAGTCGATGTAGGGATTGGGCGTTGGTAAGGTCAAATGTACTAAAGGAGGAAGAGAACTCACCACTTGGTGACGAAGGATAGAGATAGGCAATGACGCAGGGACCGTAGAGTAGGTAGACGATGGGACTCTCATGTTTCCCACTACGTTCGATGGAGAGCAAAGCTTACTATCGACACAAGGCCCATGAAACTGCGACTCTTCATTGCTAGAGGCTGAAGGGATTCGAGAATCATTCCAGCATGGGCTTCACCAAGACTAGATCCTCTTTTCCTTTTCAGGCTTCTAGGCCAAATCCACCACTGGCCCAATCCGATCTAGATGAGGACTCTTCCAGGCTCTTGAGAAGATTTGCCTGGGTTTTTCAAGTGTCACCTTCAAGCTCCCGACCCTTGCTTCCCCGCGTTATCCATCTGTCCCACCAACACCCTGGCCCCCTGCCTAGCGGCGCGCGTCCGCCGTCAAGGGGTTCGCTGGGAACGAACCAGTTCCGGGTCCAGATAACGGATCAGAATATCCATCCATCGACGCAAACCTTTAAACTTTTCAAGATCGGGGCAAGACTCTTGTCCGGATCTTTGGCAAAAGCCGCAGAAGATGTTGAAGAATCAGTGCTTGAACAGTAGCTACCAGATACTCGTTGTGGTGACTCAAGGGAATGATGTCTGGAACGATCCGGGCTCCATTCGTATCTTTTGGTACATACCCTTCTTAATGCGATGCGAGGCTCAAGGAGGGGGCTCTAGGGTCTGTTTCCTGATGGCGCCGCAAGCATGGCCTTCGGGCGGGAGCACGCGGGAAGTTGCTTACCTGCTTCCGTGCTTCGATGTGTTCATCTAATGTCAGGTAATGGGAAAACAGCCACGACGATAAAGGCAGACTTCGGAGAGTAATGAGACTTGAATATATCTCTTGATCGCCTGCGCGTTGCATTCCATACTCCTTGTCCTCAGGTCCGCGTCCAACCCGGAGTCGTGTCTCGCCTTCAGATGCTGGATAAGGGGGGACTGAAAGGCAAGAGATTGAATCGTGCTTGCGGACATGAGGAGCATTCGGATACCGCAAGAGGAACGACATAAGCTTCTGAATTCCTACGACTTAGTCTTGTGTTGATAAACTTTGCCCGCAGGGCGGCTGGTCATAAGATCCGAGTCTTCGACGGGGAGCTGTTGCCCGTCATAGAGAGGCCAGTTCTGTCCAGTCTACAATCGGGCCACTACCAAAGTCTGGGAGTCCCGGAGAATACAGACGATGGCGTTTGAAAACCACTCAAGTCGCGGACATTTGAATGAGCTTGCAAACCAATTCACCGCTAACAATGACGCTGGCCTTCTCATTTAGGTCGCTCGGAAGGGCTACATCGTGTATGCGATGCTGCAGAGTGAGCCCTGAAATGTCCCTAGGCTTGGAGATGAAAGCGTATGTGATGAACATGGTATCAATGAGATGAATCTTGCTTCTCTCAAACGGACGTAAGGAATGCCAGTTGTTCTGCTTGAGATGGGTCATCTGGATCGCCATGGAAGGTGTAGCACGAGTTTTTGGACACTGAAAGTCGAACATGAGCATATCATCAATTGGTGTTTTTGCTAGCTCAGGACGAATGCGTGCTATGAGCTCAAAAGAGCTTGTGACAGTTTGCCAGTGAACAAGAAAACGGCTCAAGGGTGTCTCAATGGTAAATCGGCTTCCGGGATGCAAGCACTTTTGAGGCGGGGATATTTGGCTGGAGGGGAAAAAGGCGCGTCGCGCTTGGCTGAATGAATACTGAGCACCGAGTACTGGGTAGATGATGGCGTTGATTTCAGGGGAGGGTGTCTAAGAACATGACGATGTCAGACCTAAGCAGTCTAAGGTAAGTTGGACTGAGATTTAGCGCAGTCCATTGCTCGGAAGCTAAATTTGGAGTCGAGTTAGATTGAGATTGAGATTGCCTATGGGATGGATGGTTAGTGAGATTGTGAGCACACCGCCAGTTCTGAGATCTCCAACTCCTCCAAATTGGAAGGTCCAAGAAGGAGGCTCCAAGGTGCGGGCAGTCAACCCAAGGTAAGCATGTTGGAAGGTAAGGCAGGCCCCAAACGGCAGGAGGTTCGGCTCCGGAAATTTACACGAGAGAAAAGTCGCACAACTGCAGACTCGAATTTGAGGCTTGTTTGCTTTACTACCTCCCTTGGGTGACCGGTCTGTCGTTGTCCAAGGTAAGACAGGCCGGATTCGAGCAGGACAAAAAAAAAAGGACAGTCCCGAGCGTCGCACTACTTTTGTCGTGAGACGAGCCTCATTGCTAGTCCTTGTCAACTAAGGGAAAAGGAGCTTGCGCTAACATCAAGTCGGTCAATTGGTTTTGCTATTTGGGGGGGTGAGGCGACTGAGGCGAGCTGTGTTATGATGTATGGATGCTCGAAATGGGG